ATTATGGCACTCTTAAGATTACAAGGATAAAGGACATATTTATTTTACAAAATATAAAAAATTATTTTAGAAATATTTATGTGTAAAATGTATACAATTTCTGTTGTATCTGATTATATAATTATATCAAATTACCATAAGAGTGTATAAACTAGTAATTAGTGGCACTCGTCTTAATTGGTAGGACTTAACGAAATTAATCAGGGATCGCATTTAAGATTGATTGACATGTGAAACCATAGCAAACGTTTCGACATACTAATCCTTCCTTAGAAATTTGAGTACCTACATACTACATACTACATACATGAGATTCGAGTCTGTAGTACTTCAGATTCAAACCATAATTGGCCCTTCATGTAATTGATTGATATCATATGGTAAAAGATAAGAGAGAGACTACTGGTGAACAATATAGGATTTAAGGAAAAATATCACTTACACCTAGTAATTTTTTTTTTGTATATATTACCCAAAAGTCCTTTATCACCTACATTTACGGTTTACATCCGAATGATATACCCATTGGACATTAAATAGACGCATCATTAGTCAATATGAAATCTGCTGCCTGTTAGCTGCATCCGACGAGGTTCTGTATCAAGGATCAAATTTAGCTGATTCAGCACAACAATGACACCAGAATATATATATATATATATATATATATATATATATATATATATATATATATATGGATAAACAGATGGATGCGTCATCTAATAATTGGATGACAATGATACAGAATAGAACGGAGATAGCAGTTTTTAGGCATTTTTCTTTTTTTATCTTTATAAAATCAACTAAAATTCTGCAGTAACTGTTTTATACACTCTAAAACAATTTTTTTTAAATAAAATTAGATGTAACGCATACTTTTGTAATTTGCTATTTGGCGTCATATGGATTCTGGTCATTTTTTTACATTTTTTCATGTAACTTGAAAATTTTATCTCTAGCACTATGAATATCTTAGCTTAGGACAAACTAGATAAAATTCACTGAAATTCTGCAGTGACTGTTTCATGAACTCTGAAACAATTTTTTTAAATAAAATTTATTGGAACGCGCTAGTATATACTTTCTTAAATTGCCAATGTATGGATTCGAGACATTTATTTACATTTTTTCTTATAACTTAAAAGTTTTGTTCCAAATATTCTGAATGTCTCAGCTAAGGAAAAACTAGAAAATATTTAGTATAATTCTGTATGATTAATTAGACATAATTTCGTACATAAATTAAATTAAATATTTTCAAATAAAACTTGTATCATAGAGCAAGTATATATTTTGCTAATTGACGGTATATGGATACGGAACATTTTTTTATATTTTTTCAAATAACTTAAAAATTTTGCTCCAAATATTTTAAGTGTCTTAGCCTAGAAAAAACTAAATAAAATTCACTAAATTTTTGCAGTTATTGTTTCTAACACTCTGGAACAAAATTTTTAAATAAAATTAGTTTTAAGGCACATATTTGTAATTTGTTAATTGGCTCTATGAGGATTCGTGACATTTATTTATATTTTTTCACATAACTTGAAAATGTTGTTCCGGATATTGTAATTAATTAATCTTAGTGGAATCTAGATAAAATTTACAAATTTTTTATATAAACTGCTTTGAATACTCTTATACAATTTTTTTAAATAAAATCAAATAAAATTTTTGCAAATTTGATTGTAATGATACGAGGCATTTTTCTACATTTTTTATATAACTTGGAAATTTCATTCCTAGCACTCTATATATCTTAGCTTAGGAGAAACTAAATAAAATTTACTAAAATTCTGCATGAACTGTTTTATACACTTTGATTTAAATAGTTTAATTAAAACTGATTGTAATGCTGTTAATTGTCAACACATGTATTTGGGATAATTTTTGACACTTTTTCAAGAAACTTATAAAATTCTATGCACAATTTTTAATTAAATTATTTCATCAAAATTCAAAAAAATGCTGTTATTTTACTTAAAATATTTCTTATACTCTGAAACTAAATTTTAACATTACTATTTGAGGTATTTTTATACTAATTTGGTTATTGCACTCTTTTTCGAACTACGTGAATAAGTCTGACTCGTCCCCGACTATTTTTTCCAGCTCATGATCCATAACTTTTTATTCGCACTCTATATTCCCTCCGAATCGATTCCTTCGTCGTGCATTTGACAGGAAAAGATTCCCCGACAAAAACTTATTTCGCCAAAAATTGCATATGCACCCACCCATATGCACCGTGCACCAAACTGCACTTTCCGGATCTCATTTTATCCTTATCATCATTTTCTTAGATTTTTTCCTTATTTTTTGCGAAAACTTCAACACAGCAGCAGCTGTAGGAGCTGCAGCTGCAGTTGCAGTTGCATTTGAAGCCTTCTCTCCCTCTAAATTTCAGGAATAATGGAGAAATGTGAAAAAGTTGTTAGGAAAGTGCACACATTACGTGTGTTTGTCAACAAAGGGATAAATTCTTGTAAGGAGCAGGAGGAGCAGATTGAGTTAGATCTGTCTGAGAGGTTTCAGGAAAGGACATACACTTTTTGTTGTTTGAGATGCATTTTTACACTTTAAGAAAATTGTTGAAGGTGGGATGTACGAATACTTATTCATTAAAATGCAAAAAAATAACTACTACTGAGTTGAAGAAAGTTTTATTTATATTTATATTTTAATTAAGTGCCCGAAACAAAATTTTTGAGTTATATGAATAATTTAAAAAAATACTTTCCCTCAATTGACATGATGAGTACATGTTCGTTACAACTAATTTTATTTAAATATGTGTTTTTAGAGTATTTAGAACAGTTTATACTAAATTAAATTAAATTTTATCTATTTTCTTACAAGTTTATTTAATTAGAGCGCCCGGAACATTCTTTTTGAGTTAAATGAACAAATTAAAAAGTGTCCTAAAACTATATCATCCGTTTTTTATATATTCCAGTACCAAAAACATTGAAAAAACCAATTTCGTAAAAAAGCAATAAACACCCTTATTTTTTACCTATGCGAAAATTTAATATCTAATTAGATTTAAGTAGCATTACGGCGAGTTACACGAACTTTCCGAGAGTTGTAAATAATAAAGTTAATGCAAACTGCCACATAATTAATAATGGTGTATAAAGTGTTAATCTGAAGCGAATAAATAAATAAAATATAGATATATCTAGAAAAAATATTATGTTATTATTAAACATGCAACAGTTGCAATGATATTTTATGAAAATATAAAATTACAATATGTAAAACATACCATAAAATATTTTGTGACGATAATAGAATAAAGACAAAACTGTTTTATGCAAGCAGGTGTATTTATTTATATTAATAATATTTATAATATATAATGTTATTTTATATTAAGTATAAAACTAAAAATAAATAATCAAAATTATTTTGAAATGCTTTTTTTCTGCACATTGTTTGATTATTACATATTTATCATATAAAATATATTATTTTTTAATGTATATAAGTATGTAACACAATCAAACTTTTGAAATGTAATATCTACAATATTATTGCCGAAAACCAACTGATATGTGTCAGAAATTAAACATATAAGATACAATATATGTTTGGCAGTAGAAAATATATAATATATTTTAATAAATAACACAATAGTCCAAATTGCTTATACAACTCGTGCATGTTGTATTTTGCTTCACTAAATTATTTAAATATAAAATAATATTTTTACTTATTGATTTTTATTTATTTATTAAATTAACAATCAAAATACAATTTAATCTTATAAGCTATTGAAGTATTATAAGCTATTGTAACACAAACAAAAAGAATCGAAAGGAAATAATAATAATAATAACAGAAGGAAATACTAAAAAAGGAAATACTTATTGAAAAAATGATTTAGAATTTTGTTTCATGTGTCAAAAATTCATTTGTTTCATCATAATCTTAACTATTTTTTTTTTATTTATTTATTTATTTAGCAATATATACATTTCACATATATCCATATCTCAGACAGACAGGGGTGCCTGGTATAAGAGATTATGGATTGCAAATTAAATTATTAGTAAGAAAAATGTACTTTAGAAATTATGATTGCAAAAAAGCAACTAATATTATTTAAATTATTGAACCAATTTTATTGGTTGCAAATAACAAAGGTGATATTGTTCTTTTACCGTAGATACTATATTTATTCTCTCTGAATTCTTATATTGATAAAAAAATGCAGCTTCCAATACGTATACAGCTTATGCTAAGGCCATAAATAGAAGGACATTAAATAGAATATTAAAAAGTATAGGATAGGATATTAAAATATTTGGAACTTAAACTGTAGACGTGGGTCTATGTGTAGAGGAGTAGCACCAATGAAGAGCGAGGGGGCGTTAATATCTATATTTTTTTTAAATAAGATTTTTGCAATCGATGATTTATTAGTTAGAACCGAGTAGTGTAATAAATTCAGGCAAGAACTATCTTTTCCATGTTCAATATAGTCATATTTATGATTATCCAAAAGCATATTTATGGTCGGATAATTATATACTGTTTTATCGTTAGCCTACCGAATATTTTCATTATAAAGATAGATTTTAAAATTAACGTCGATAATGCGGCGTAATAAAAATTTAACAATAATTATTTTACTGTTAATTATCGCATGTTGAAATAGCTTCGACTCTTCTGTAACATTAGCTACCTTTCTTAGAAAATATTTAATTATTGCCATATGACACTCGTTGATGGCAAAGTCAATTGGAGCCCAAATATTAATATTTTTACTATCAGCATCATTATCCAATAAAAATTTTACAAATTTTTTATCGATTATTTCTAGCTGCAAGATGCAAAGGTGTTTCTTTTTTACAATTAACTGCATCGTCTTGAGCGCCTCTTCCTATTAATGTCTGAGCAAGCTCTAAATGTCCTGCCATAGCTGTATAGTGCAAGCATGTATAGTTTTTTGTATTAATTGGGCCTAATTGGGCTATACGATTTTTTATCAGTAATTAAACAATATCTTCACAACCATGTTTAGCTGCTTCTGACAAAAATGTATCGGTTTTATTGTCAAGATTGTTCAACAGCAACTTTACTATTTTGCTGTTACCATAGGAAATAGCATGACACAAAGGACTTTTTCCAGTATTGTCAAAAACGTTGATGTTGGCTCCTTTCTCTATCAGTAATTGAATTATATCAATAAGATTATTTTTAACTGCATAATGCAATGGCGTTGAATGATTTTCATCGATAACGTTGGCATCAGCTTTATTATTCAACAAAATTTCAATGATCCTTGTGTGACGTTTTCTGGTAGCAATATGCAGTGATGTTGATTTTCCATAAGCTATATTAACCATGGTTTCTTTTTCTACTAACATTTGAACGATCTCATGTTTATTATTAGTAGCTGCGACATATAAAGGTGTATAACCATCTTTAGTATCATGTGAATAATGATGCTTCTTACAACCAAGCAGTAGATCATGATTGGAATTCAGTAATATATTGGTATTTGCTCCATGATCCAGAAGAATTTTCGTGATTTTTACGTCACCTGTAAATGCTGCGTAGTGTAATGGAGATCCGTAATCAAAGTCTCGACCATTTATAACCGCCTTAATGAAATCGGGGTCTATTTGACTTAAAACTGTATCTATATCCGGATACATTGCATGTTTAATAGCATCCATTAGTTTAACAAAGTGGTTATCCAGCATTTGGAATAAATTAAATATATTAAAAAAATTTTCAATTCTCTTGAAATAATGTTTTACATTCAAAATATGGTGAGGGCCTATTTCGAGAATGCACTTTCTCCAAATTTGAATTAATATATCAATATCATTATTTTTAATTTCTGGGATTAAATTCTGCAATGTCTCATCTGACATATGTTTTATATGGTGTATATATAATATTTCTTCAACGCTAAATGAATCATTTTGTTTTGTTACGCTAATATCAATAAGTTTTTCGACAGCATTGGCATATTTTATTGTTTCTTTCGACATTTGATCAAATGCTTCTTTAAATGTGCAGTTTTGCAAATTTTGATAGTATTCAATTGGGTATTGTAGCCAAGTTTCGGTCCACCATTTCCCACTGTCAAATTTACTTTCATTAGATATGTTTTTCCCAAATTTATCTAAAAAAGTTTGTATTTGTGTAATCTTACATTTTTTCGGTAATGTGTTTAATATATCTCTAAAGTAATCTGGAAACAAAAATATGTTGTTGTTTTTAAATTTAAATGATTTGGCCACAAAAATTAAATAAGTGCCATCAGATTTCAAATCATGAGATTTAGATTTAGAAACACAATAAATAATCAGTCGAAGAATTACATCTCGTAGATCAGTATTTTCATTTTGTTCTCGTTCATATATCTTTAGTATATTTACAAACATATTGTATACATTATGCATTTGTCCAATATACTGAATGGGAGAGCGGCCGCGAATGAAATAAGAGTTATAGCCTGCTCCAGCCTTTAACATGCATTCGATTCGTTTAGAATATACATCAATATTGTCGTAACACATCATGCAATCCAAAAAATTAATTTCATGACCTCTATCAAAAGCAGGATATTCCAACTCTAATTTCATAAATTCGCTTTCAACCTTTTCAAGAACCCTAATCAGACCTATACAGATATCAACACCTTTCTCAATATATAAAGCAGTTACTTCTTCATCATAATCGAGTAACTTCAGAAGTAATTCTTCAAAATAATTAGCTGAAGTAAAATATTCAACCTTAGTCTTTTCCATCAACAAAGAAATGTAATCAGCAGGTGCCCTTCTTTTAATTGCTTCAATAATAGGCATTTTTGTACCATTTGGTGATTCATAGGTTTTACCGTCAATCATATTCAATTCTAAACAAATTTTAATGATATCAATTTCTGCTTGTTCAAAAATGATTGGAATGAATTTCTTCCGTATCCATTCCTCATCATCGTTAAATTTTTTAAGAATGTGTGAAATTTTAAAAATGTGAAAATGTAGGTTTTGAGCTTCAATATTCAAAGGATCTTTGGCAAAACTAGCTAAAAACGCGTTTTTAAAAAAATCTGAATCTACTTTTTCCACTAAGGCATACCACAACTTATTTAATTGAAATTTGAAACATAGCTTCAATATATCATATTGCTTATAGACATTTTAAGCAATAAGATAAATTTTGTTTAGATACCTATGGGTTCCGTACCAGGCGCGGCGTTTACGCGCTTCGATATTTCGTCTCTATGCAGTAAAGCAGTACGATTGCTTTGAAAAAAGTTCAGAATTTCCAAAATATTCAAATACACTTTCTTCGAAAGTTTTTTTTTTCAAAAAAAAGTAATTTTTGTCAAAAATTTATAGTTTCTCAAAATCTAATTTTTCAGAGTAATTTTCAAAATGTTATCTTTAACAAAAAAAAAATTGGTACGGGAAGTTCCAGCATTTGCCTTAAGGCAGATTAAGACTAGTTTGATAGTTTGATTTAAAAGCTATTTGTAAGACAGACAAAACTAGATCGAAAATTTTGGCGCTCGTTTAGAAGATTATCTCAACCACTGCGGTTGTCACTTAAACAATGTCATCTTTTATTAGCAAATATTCTTGCTATTAAATTGTATAGTTTTCTTTATACGATTTTAAAATATGAATTAATTTGTATACTTTATATATCTTTAAAAGTATCATAGTGAAGCATATGGTACAAATTTGATAACTTTCATAAAGACTGGAAGAAGACAATTTGATCCGGCTCAGTGGAGTTAATGTTTGAGATGTCGGCGTTTCTACTTTGTAAGTCTTTTCCCGCACAGGAGCACCCAAAAGCCCTTTTGGCACGGATCACTATGCTTTGCGCCGTCCGACTTGCAGAATAACAGAATACGTTGCAAATTCACGCCAGACGTACAAGTTTCGCCATTATATAGTTTATTGAGAAGCTGTGCAATACATCACGTGTGTATCCTATAGTTGCAAATCCGATCTGACGGAAATACCTAATAAATCGGACCGCTCAAAGAGGATTGCTGTTAGGCAAGAAACATGCTAGTGCATAGGGAACACCGGAATTGGTTATAATAAGACGATCATGAATTTAATCTGAATAATTCATTGATAAATATGGTAATTGTTAATCATATTCGCACCAATAATTTATCCAAAATTGGACGAAGCTATTGTTAAAGTTTTCATATTAGACCTAATTGTCCTAGAAGGTATAGTTCAATTATTTCATGTTCAGATATTTCATGCATAATAAGACGTTTATATATTAATACTTCGATATTCTCTGTATTTCTTGCATCAAAATTTGTATATACTTAAAACAATGTCCACAGATTATTTTAAATAGTTATATCAATCAGTAATTTTTTTCCTATGAATAATCATAATTACTTATTGAATTTTAAACCAATTTTTCAGTAAACTATCCCACCTCCCGTTATCATGCAAAACTTAGAGAGGCATTGTATTCTTTTCATTTCACGATCATATTTTATCCACACAGAATTCTTATACCGAACCGTTCAGACGTAAGAAATAAGCAAGTAATTTTTTTCTATACCGCTGCGTCGGCGATGGCGATCAATATTCAAATCGCGCTGGACAAACTACAATCTGATTGACCGGTTCCACTAAGAACGTATTTAAAACGAAAATAAAGATAATGAGAGTGGATAAATAATATAAATGATTTCTGAATTTATGCATAATAATCAAATTTGCGTCACTACAAATACCACCCCTTTGTAAAAAGCCAATCAATCAATTGCCAAAGCTTGCATGTGTAATAAGTCGCATTTAAACTTTTTCATAATGTGATAAAATATAGCACCAGTATAATAACTATCAATAAAAGTTCGCTAGATAAATCAATATTGAGATAATTAAATCCACGCTAAAGTCAAAGTTCAAATTGTATATGTACAGTTAATAGACAAAGTGTCTTTTGAAGAATAAATTAGTAATACAGTCAAGTCATTGACGCTACATACAGAATACTAGAACATCAAACTAGTGGCCCGATAACATTATGCCTTAAGGCAAATTATTGGAACTTTTAAAAGCTTTACATTTTTTTTAAATATTTCAAAATTAAATTTTTGAGGATTATGATTATTTTTTTAAAAAGGACTTTTTTCAAACATATATATTTTCAAATTTTTTTTGAAAATTTGAATTTGTTAGCCTCGTAGCTGCCTAAGGGTTAAACAGTATAAATCTTGGTACGGAATCCATAAAAATGTAAACACTTATTAAAATTTCTATAAAATATTATCTAATAATTTGATATACATATGTTTAACGATAATTTTTTTTTACTGCAAAATGGCGATTTTTAATTTTTCATTGAATCTCCGAAACCGCTGCACCTGCTTTTCATCAATTCATCAATACCAAAATTAAATTAATTTTTCATTTCATACAAGTAAAGAATCAATGCTTTTTGAATCATTTAAATCGGTTGATCCGTGTTCTGAAATCGTCGACAAAAACTTAGTGTCCGCACATACATACATACACACACATACATCCATATTTTTCTAAAGTATGCCAAAATGTTGAGAAACCTTAAAAACGCAAAAATATATAAAAATTTAAATTTTCCATTTGTTTGTGATCACTATAACTTACCCTACGGAAGTTAATAATATTTCAGGTATGTATTATTTTCAGGTATGAATCAGCGAATAACCTTTCAAATATAACGTAGTGAATATTTTAGTACCCTTCAAGCCGTTTGACGCATTACTTAAAACGTTGTATCTCAATAGGCAAGAATATTTAAATGCATACATAAAAGCTCAGAACAACTATTAATTGCTCCTGTGGATAAATTTCAACAAAGCTGTCCATAAATAACAAAGTCGTGGTGTTTTCAAATTATGAGATTGGAAATCTAAAAGTTCTACTTTAATATGCAAGTACGCTTTACGTCCGGCAACAACTCTCGCATACAATGAAGCTCACATACACTGTCACAAATTGCCCCATTAGCATATGCAGCACACACCGAATGTATCGCGTTATCAGTCACTATCAGTGCTGCAGTTGTAGCTGTTTATTCGCGACCGTTCGTCCGCGAGGGACTAGGGTTATTACTCAGCCCCACGAGCGGCGGAGTATAAATTAACTATTGTGTTTTAGAACGATCGATATGAGAATAGCTATGTATAGTTAGCTGGATTTCCAAGCGAAGAACGACAGTTTTTAAGGCTTTTTTCCTTACAAGAACACATGTTATTTACCTATTAAAAATGAAGTATGAAGTTAAAATTTGCTAGAAATCATAAGGTTTTGTTTTCAGTTTTATATCAATTACATACAGAAGTATGT